ACAATACCATGAGAAAGAATAAAATATTCAGGATTAAACCAAGTTGGTCAAAGATTCATACTCTGGATATTACAAAATATTGCTCAAACAAATAAGTGGAATGATGTCGAGTTCATGGATTAGAAAACTTAATATTGTGGAAATGCTCATACTACCCAAAGTGGTATACATTCAAAGCAATCCCTATCAAAATCATAATGGCATAAAAAAAAAATCCTGGGGCACCTGGGTGGCTCAGTCATTAAGAGTCTGCCTTTGACTCAGGTCATGATCTCAGCATCCTGGGATTGAGCCCTGCATCGGGCTCCCTGCTCAGCAGGAAGTTTGCTTCTCCCTCTCTCACTTCCCCTGCTTGTCTTCCCCTCTCTCACTGTGTCTCTTTCTGTCGAATAAATAAAATCTTTAAAAGAAAGTGCTAAGTTTTACATAGAATCTCAAAGGACTCTAAACAGTCAAGAAAGATCTTAGAAAAAAAAAAGGGAAAGGAAAGCTGGGCATGGGGTTTCATCTTTCTGATTTCAAAATTTCCTACAAAGATAGAGTAATCAAAATAGTATGGTAATGGCATGAAGACAGACATATTGACCAATGGAACAGAATAGAAAGCTCTTAAATCAACCATTTTGTTTATAACAAAAAGATCTTTGACATGGGTGCCAAGAATACACAATGGGGATAGGATAGTGTCTTCAACAAATGGTGTTGGGAAAAGTAGATAGTCACATTCAAAAGAATGAAGTTGGATGCTTACCCTAAATCGTATAAGAAAATTAACTCAAAAGAGGTTAAAGACCTAAAGGTGAGACTTGAAACTATGAAACTCCTAGAAGGAAATAGGGAGAAGCTTCATAACATTGGACTGAACGATGATTTCTTGGCTATGACACCAGGAGCAGAGGCAATAATAGCAAAAAACATGAATAGCACTATATCACTCTTAAAAACCTAACTAGCAGAGTGAAAAGGCAACATCCAGAATGGGAGATAATATTTGCAAACCCTATTTTCCCAAAGAAAATATACAAATGTCCAACAAATATATGAAAAGATTTTCAGGGTCACTGATTATCAGGGAAATGCAAATCAAAACCACAATGAGATAGCACCTCACATTCTTTAGGATGGCCACTACCAGAAAAATAGAAAATACCAATTATTAAAAAAGAGAAAGAAAAAAGAAAATACCAAATATTGGCAAGGAATGAGAAGAAAGTACAATCTTTATGCACTGTTGGAAATACTGTAAAATGGTGTAACCATTGAGAAAATAATATGGAGTTCCTTCAAAAGAATTAAAAATAGACTTACCATATGACTTGTTAATTTTAGCCATTCTGACTGGTGTGAAGTGGTATCTCATTGTGGTTTTGATTTGTATTTCCCTGACGTCGAGTCAGGAAATGACAGATGCTGACGAGGATGCGGAGAAAGGGGAACCCTCCTACACTGTTGGTGGGAATGCAAGCTGGTGCAACCACTCTGCAAAACAGCATGGAGGTTCCTCAAAATAGAGCTACCCTATGACCCAGCAATTGCACTGCTGGGTATTTACCCTAAAGATACAAACGTAGTGATCCGAAGGGGCACGTGCACCCGAATGTTTATAGCAGCAATGTCTACAATAGCCAAACTATGGAAAGAACCTAGATGTCCATCAACAGATGAATGGATCAAGAAGATGTGGTATATATACACAATGGAATACTATGCAGCCATCAAAAGAAATGAAATCTTGCCATTTGCGACGACGTGGATAGAACTAGAGGGTATCATGCTTAGCGAAATAAGTCAATCGGAGAAAGACAACTATCATATGATCTCCCTGATATGAGGGAGAGGAGATGCAACATGGGGGGCTAAGGGGGTAGGAGAAGAGTAAATGAAGCAAGATGGGATTGGGAGGAAGATAAACCATAAGTGACTCTTAATCTCACAAAACAAACTGAGTGTTGCTGGGGGGAGGGGGGTTGGGAGGGGGGGTGGGGTTATGGACATTGGGGAGGGTATGTGCTATGGTGAGTTCTGTGAAGTGTGTAAACCTGGCGATTCACAGACCTGTACCCCTGGGGAAAAAATATATTATATGTTTATAAAAAATAAAATTAAAAAAAAAAAGTTAAAAAAAAAAAAAAGAATTACCATGTGATCCAGCAATCCCACTTCTGTATATGTATCTAAAAAAACCGAAGCAGGATCCTAAAGAGATATTTGCATATTCTTGTTAACTGCAACATTATTCACAAAGCCCAAGAGACAGAAACATCTTATATATCCATTGATGGATGAATGGGTAAACAAAATGTGTTACATATATGCAATATGTTGTTATTCTATCTTTAAAAAGAAGGAAATACTGTCACATGCTACAGTATAGATGAACTCTGAGGACATTAAAATAAGCCAGTCATGAAAAGACAAATACTGTATGACTTCACCTACATGAGTTATCTAAGCAGTCAAACTCCTATAAACAGAGAGTAGAAAGTAGTAGCTGTCAGGGGCTGGGAGTAAAGGAAAAGGGCAGTGGTTGTTTGTTTGATAGATACAGAGTTTCAGTTTGCTAAGATGAGTAAGTTCTAGATATCTGTTGTTTGATGGTGTGCAGTGTTCTTAACACTATGGTACTGGTCACTTAAAAATGGTGAAGATGGCAAACTTCATATTGTGTTGTTTTTTTGCTTAACCACAATTAAAAAAAAAAACCCTATAGATAGCATGGTTACGCATAGGATGTTGTGAAAGCCACCAAAGGGGATAGAAATAAAGCCTAAGAAGTATGATATAATGGAAGCCAAAAGCAAAGAGTGTGTCAGAAATGATATGATTCCTGACTGCACTGAATGCTTCAGAAAGATCAAGGAAGAGAAGGAAAAGAAAGTACCTGTGGGATTTATCAGCACAGAGGTCACTGAAGCCTTAGCAAGAATGGTTTCACTGAAACTAAGTAATGGGTTCAAATGGTGACAAGGGTGAGGATTTGACCATACAATTTATTGTCTTATCATGAATACTCCTAAGAATGAAGAGGCTGGTAAAATTATTAATAATTATATATTTTAAAAATATTTACTTAACATATCACACATTGATTTTATTGTAGTCATGAATCACTGCAACTCATCATTTGGCTGTTTCTGACCTGGGAATAAGGACATGGATGCAGGTTCTCTGGGAACCAAAATTTTCAGCCTTCGGAAGGGAAACAGTTGTTCAGAGACTTAGATCCTGCTCATTTTTTGTCACTTCAGGTGTAAAGACCTTCATAAAATGTAAGGTGAATGAGTGTTTTCCCCTCTAATCTTTCTAGGCAACAATGTGCTTATTTGGAGGTGGACTGGGACCAGAAAAGGGGTGATTAGAAATTCAGGGCAGATTGGAATGTGACAGTAGGATGATGAGACTTGAGAGAAGCAGCTACTGGAGCCACTGGGTAAAGTTGTATCTGTAATTTCCAGGAGCCACTGAAGGGACAAACCCAAAGGCCCTGAATAACCACAAGATTGTTCCTCTAGATGATCAAGGCCTGGAACAGTCTTTTCTTCAGGCTACAGGACCAGGAAGAGGTAAAAGTTGCAGCATCCTGGAGAGTAAGAGTTGGTAGTTGGGATGGAATTCCTCAGTTGTTCCTTTCCATGTCCAGCAGAGAAGTAATGGCTAGTGAACTTGGCCTTCAGGCTTCCTTAGGAAAGCCTTCGACTCATTCTGCTCTCCCAGATTGAACCTCCCATTAATGTGTGGTCTGTCCATTGTACATGTTTTCACCACTGTTAGGCACTTCCGTTAGAAGCTGGAATGTGAAGGTAATGAAGTAGGACTCAAAGATGGATATTTTATGATGTGAACAAATGGGCAGTTAGGATAGAAAAGAGCAAACGAAGAAATATAGACTATCCCTCAAAAAAGGATATGAAGTCTTCTCACAATAATTGACTTATTTGATATAATTCCAGTTTCAATCACAATGACATTTCTCTGAAGCATGGTAAAATAGCTCTGAACTAAAGCAGAAATATAAATAGATAAAATAGCACAGAAAATGTTAAACAATGCAAACCATAGGACACTAGCATTCTTTTATATATAAAAACTTATTTTATAGTCACAGCTTGATATTCTTACAGATTTCTTTGTCCTTGGTCACATGTTCCTTCTACCAACTTACAGGCTTTTTATTTTTCATTTCTTTTAAGATTTTATTTTTAAGTCATGTCTACACCCAACATGGGTCTTAAACCCACAATCTTGAGATCAAGAGCCACATGCTTCACTGTGGTTTTTTATTTTTTAACATAACAAAAGAAAATGTTGCTAATGGCTAAATAACTGGCTTAGCTAACACTGGCTTCAAAAATTCAGAGAAATGAGAGATGTCACTCCAAGATAAATCGGTCAGAAATGATTCACTGAAAAAGTAGAAATTGAACCTGGTCTTCCATGGTCCAAGGTTCAAAATGAGAAGAAAGCAATGATCTCTCCCACACAAGAAATAAAGATGAAAATATTTCATCATAAGACCTGAATTAACCCCAAATTCAATTTAAAAAAAAAAACTGAATAGCATAGACTAAGGTCCAGTGAGTAATCTTTCATGCACTTAAATTATCTTCACAGAGGATATACTATGTGTAAAATATGATACAAGCTATGGAATTTTATAGGAAAAAGAGAAAAACAGAAAAATGACCATGGAAATAGTCCACAGAAAAATTGAAAGGGCCTATACTTAATATGGTAAAACCATCTCCCTTCATGTGAAAAACTAGAGAAAAAAATTGGGTTTATCCAGTTGTGGTAAAACCAGTCATCATCTGCAAATTTCCAAATGATAAGAAACTTAAGTCACTGAGCAAAAACAAACAACTTTGAGATTGCGGTGTATTTACAGAATACAAATAAGAAACACCAATATGTCAGATGACTACGCAAATGTGTGAATAATTCTTTTTCTCATTGTCACAAAATCTGCTTCTCCACATGTATTCTTCCTCTACTGGACGTACATCATACATCTTCTTAATTGGGAACATTCTTCCCATGTTTGGAAAATTTCCCATAGCGTGATGTGTCCTTTCTGTTTCCCAGTAGTAGAAGGCACACTTTTCCTTTCCCCAAAGTCTTTTTCTATAGGTCTGAGACACGTAAATTAGGCTACAGCTCTCATCGACACCCGTGTTAGATTTTATTTGAAGCAAGCAATTTGAAGAAGTACGTATCACCTGGGACTCATCTTTTGATGGGAGTGGTGATGGATGAAGGTGGATGGTTTTGGGGGACCACATTGGAGAGCTTCCGGGGCAAGTGCCAGCACCTTCCAAGGGAGTTACCATGCTTATTTATTTGACACAGAGAGAGAGCTAGCAGGGGGAGCTGCCGAGGGAAAGGGGGAAATAGACTCTCCACTGAGCATGGGGCCTAACTCGAGACTCCATCCCAGGACCTTGGGATCATGACCTGAGACCAAGGCAGCCACTTAACCAGCTGAGCCATCCAGGCAGCCCCCCCTTAGTAAAGTTTTTGTTTCCACTTAAACTTGTTAGAGGAGATTCTGTGTCTTATAACTACAATATCTAACAGATGTACCAAAAGAGAACTATTAAATGGCCCATGATCAATTCCTGTTACAAAAACTAAGGCATAGCCAGGGCTTCCATAATAATAATCATTTTATCTTTTATAAGACTAAAATATTCAGCATCCTAATGTCACAACTCAGAGATAGGAATACTAGCCCCTTACTGAATACTGCAAACTCTGCACTTAAAACTCTGCATTTAAAAAACAAAGGGCGAGAATAGCTTGGAGTCATGTAACCCTGGATTTGAATTCCACTTTTGACATTTAAGAGAGGCAAATTTTTGGGTCTTTGGGCAAGTTACTTATTTCCTAGGCCTGAATTTCCTTCTCCAAAAAATGGTATAACACCACCTTAGAGTTGTTGCAAGCGTTAGAGGATATTTGTATGTCTAACACAGTGTCTAGCTCAAAATAAATCCTTAGTAAATGTACACATTATAAATTCATAGGTAAATCTGCACCTCAGTCCAAGGGAAATTTCTGATAGAGATCCTAAGCATAGACTGTGTTTCTTGGATAGTAGAGAACTTCTTTCATTGGCAGTATTTAAACATAGCCAAGACATTCATCTGAAAAAAAATATTTTATAGATGGGATTGGAACATCAGATTTAGACTGGTTCAGATAAAATTGAGGGTCCTCATAAAACTTGCATTTTATTTATAATTCTGAGACTTAAGATAGTTGCTCTATTCTAATCAGGTGTTTTCCTATGAGAACAAAGTGCAGATTTTACTTAGATGGATAATAGAGCAGAAAAAATGATGTGTTCATTTTTTTCTCTGGATTCCTTCAACAGCAAATATTACCACTACTATGCTCCTTAAAATCTTGGCAGCTAGAAAAGTCAGAGCTTAGAGTGTTCTCAGATTCATGTCTTATGGGAGATAGTCTGACATGACCTCATCTTCAAGGTTACAGGCTTCTTGCTAATGCTGCAACCTGATGAAGCCTGATCTTCATGAAACAAAGCTACGTAGTTCTCTTTAACCCCACATATGTCATTCATAAGACTGACCTGTTGTAGAGAAGATAAATCTATCCTGGGAGATTGTTATATCCTGACAAAAGAGAGTTCAGAATGTAAACATTTTTTTTTTTTGATGTGTTAAGGGAATTGATATCAGAAGCAAAGTATCACAGAGATATGTGAGCTGATCACAGTACAGGGGAAAGAAGCATAGAATTTATGGTTTAAAAACCCGAGTTTATTTCTTTTCTATAAAAGATAATTGTCACCCAAAAAAGAAAGATAAAAATCACAATTCTTGAGCAGGTACAAGAATGAACATGTGTTAAGTATTCTATTTTACTCACTAGGGAGAAAACTGGAAAGATATGAAGACAATTCGAAGGAGACCCCAAAGAACAAATATGTTTATAGATAAAGAATATTAAAATGAATGTGCAAATGAAAAGCAAACCTGGCATTTTTCACAGACAAGAGAGAAATAAATTGAATTTCCACTGGACAGAATTTGCATGTCTATATACAAGAATTACTTGCATTGTTATCTGTTATCTACAACCAGATAACCTAGAAATTATGCTCTAGACACTGTATAGTTTTACACCGAAGCGCAAAATTTTCCCTCCACTTCCTGTGTTCTGATTATCTGTGAGATCCTTAACGTGTCTTTTAGCATTTGATGTCTTTTAGCATTTCAGTTTTTGTTTCCTTAATAAAACTCCACCTTGAAGGATTATTACAAGAATCTAATGAAATGCTGTGTAGAACACACCCAGCGCACTACCACTTCCCCCTCAAAACTTTTCATGATTTCACGGTAAGCCCTTTGGCATTGTCAATTGTCTACAATACTTGACAAACTGATGAAGTAGAGGAGAATGAACATTGCTGTTTGGAATATATTAAGAACTCCTGATACGTGCTGTAACGTATTCATGACATGAGTCATCAGAGCATTATGCTGAGTGGAAAGAGTCAGACACAAAGTCAATCCACTTGTATGAGATTCTAGAACAGGCATATCTGCAGGGAGAGAAACACATGAGTGGTCCTCAGAGGCCAGGGTATAAGGAGGAGGAAATTCATGAAAATGGGAGTGGAGTGTTTGGGGGCTTACAAAAATTCTCTACATCATCTTTGTGGTGATATGTATTTGTTAAAACTCACTGAACTGTGCATTTACCATTGGTGAATTCTATTGTATGAAGATCAGACCTGAACAGAAGTGAGTTTTTTAAAAGTACATGTGATTTGGACCTGTCTCCTTGAGCCATGTGAAAACACATCTCCTGAGAACTGCCTTTCTCATTTTGTCCACATAAAGCGAAGTGTTTTGAGTTCTTGTTTTGTGAGGTGATCAGTTTACCACCAAATGCCCTATCAACTTTATTAAATTGTATGTGATCATGGACAGTTAACTCGAGGCCTCAATTCTACAAAATGGTAAAAGTGAAAAAGAGAAATTCTATTATCATTTAGGCCTCTGATCTTCCACTGTCAATAAGCATATCAACAAAGTTCAATAAGCATATGTAATATTCTCCTCAAAAAGGTGTCTATGGCTACTTTGTCAATAAAGTGGAGGTAGATCCAGTGGGTGAGTTCCTGCTGAGTAAGTGTTGTGCACGCATGTGTGTGTGTTTGGTTGTTATTTTGATATTTCTTTGTTTTATGTTGTTTTTCAGAAAATTTATATTCTCATGGATGTTACCAAAATGAATTGAGTTTTTGTCATGAGTATATAAACCAGGGAGCAACCTAGCTGATGTGGCGGTGCTGCATTTAAATTGGAAGGCTCTTCCCGCAGAACTTCCTTTGCCTTTTGAGAGCCCAGCATTCCCCTCTTGGTTATTAGCAGCAACTGTCTTTGGCTTGATCCCAGGTGCAGAAAACAGATGACTCGGTCTGACAACGTTTCCATTTCCTCCGTAAGGATCACTTATGAAGTGCCTTTAATCATTTATGAGTACGTTTCATTTGCTGTTTGCAGCAAACAGTTTGACTCTGCTGGGTTTGACAGCTTTCCGACATTCTGCAAACAGCTGCAATAATAGTCTTGACAATGTCATTTACAAATGAGGCGCAGGCGGCACGAACAAAGCGACTGATACACTCTAAGTAATATGATAATGGAATGGCAAGCTGTATGGAAAACAAGATCGAAATGAGATTGTATCACCCTGTAGGGGAGGTAAATTCCTAGACAGAAAAGGATTGCTAAAATGCATCACTTTTTAATCGTGTAAACACCACACTCACCATGTTTTCTGACATGGTGGCTCTGGAACATGTGGGGATGCTTCACCTCTCCCCCTGATGGCTACAGCCCATTCCCACTGCCCACTATAAATCTGCCCCATTATATTGTTTCTCCAACCAGATTTTGAGATTCCTGGAAGCGAGGTTTTCTCTGTTACCTGTTTCTATTTCCACTGTCTAGGATGGTGTTTTATACTTACCATACAATCAGTTCATCTCTGATTATATGGTTACATCTATTCTTTCTTTAGATCAATAAGCTTTTAAAAATTATATACATATGGACAAATTTCTTCAAAGGGATACATATATGTATATAGATATATACATATATGAACATGTGTGTATGTGTGTTATGTATAGCTTTGAAACATAAATACATTATGAGATGGTTTTGAAGTGTGGCATTTGATGTGCATAGCCTCTTTTGCTTAACATAGTGAGTTTGAAAGAAATACATTAATTATTTGGAATCATCTGGTCTGAAGGATTTATCATCACCATTGAAATAGGTCATATGAGTGAAAAACTACAGCTTTAGCATTCCTTCAATATGATTTTTTTTTAAAGAAATAGGCTTTATTTATTTATTTATTTTTGAGATTTTATTTATTTATTTGACAGACAGAGATCACAAGTAGGCAAAGAGGCAGGCAGAGAGAGAGAGGAGGAAGCAGGCTCCCCGCTGAGCAGAGAGCCCAACGCGGGGCTCAGATCCCAGGCCCCTGGGATCATGACCTGAGCTGAAGGCAGAGGCCCTAACCCACTGAGCCACCTAGTTGCCCCTAGGCTTTATTATTTTAGAGCAGTTTTCGGTTCCCAGCAAAATTGGGAGGAAGGTATAGAGGTTACTCATATACTTGCTGCCTCCATAGAAACACAACTCACCCCACTGTCAACATCCCATGCCAGAGAGGTATATTTTCTATGATCAATGAACTTACACTGACACATCACAATGACCCAAAGCCCATAGCTTCCCTTAGGGCTTACTCTTCATGGCACATTCTATGGGTTTTGAGAAATGTATAATGGCATGTAGTATCATACAGAAGAAATTTCACTGCCCTAAAATTCCTTTGTCCTCTGCCTCTTCATCCTTCCCTCATTACCAACAGTGGTAGCCACTGATCCTCTGTCTCCACGATTTTGTCATTTTCAGAATCATACTTGGAATCACAGAATAAGTAGCCTTATCAGATTGGCCTCTTTTACCGAGTAGTATGTATATAAGTTTCCTCTAAGTCATTTCATGGCTCAATAACTTATTTCTTTGGGTACGGAGTAACATTGCATCGTCTGGATGTACCCCAGTTTATCCATTTGCCTACTAAGGATATCTTGGTTGCTTCTAAGTTTTGACAATTGTCAATAAGGCTTCAATAAGCACCCATGTGTAGGTTTTTGTGTGAGCATACATTTTCAATTCCTTTGGGCAAATACCAAAGAGTGAAATTGCTGGATCATATGGTAAATACCAGGCATTTTTTTGGTATTATAGCTGTATTATATTTTTCTTATGAT